GGGCTGAATCTTAATTTTAAAAAAATTCATAAACTTTCCAATGAAATTTTCCCTATTCTATGGATTTTACAAGACATGAGTGTGAACTTCGAGTTGAACACTAAGTCAAAAAAAATAGAACACTAAGTTAGACTCACATCCCCCGAAGTTGCTCTACATGTGAGTTTTCAGACTTCGCCTTAACTTCGATAGTGATGACTGTTCGGAGACTCCCAAAGAAGTCAAACCGTGAGTTTTCTTTTACAGTCTATAGTTCAACTGCTTTACGCCTACTCGGAAGCTCTAAGAAATTATTTCAGAACGACTCCACACCCTCTAAGGATCTTCTGTCGACGATTGATTGAAGACGATGATTCAGAACATCAGATCACAAAATCTATGAAAAGGAGACGTTTGGTAGGAAACTTACCTGAAATAACTCTGACCTATAGTTGCCATTCCTAATATGGCCCTGGTATTATCGCACCTCACCATTACTGCCTCAATCACCGACAGGAAAGGATTTGTCGAAGAAAAAGCGCAAGGCTCACTAGGCTTGAATACTTGAAGCAGTCTAAAGATATAAAATTAATAGACACACAAGTCGTTCACAAATGTCTTCTCCTGACATTTCCCAGAGTTCATTGACAAATCGTAATTCTACCTATTTCAGTTTGACTAGACTTCATTCGAACGATTTGATATCCATCAAGTATGAAGAGGATAAAACCAGTCAAAGTCGCATTCCATCCGCTCTGGAACTTTCATCTTTTTCGAGATGTTACAATGATGTCTCACTTGTAAATAATCGAAAATTCTTAGGTCATCAAAAAATCACCGGTCTGTACTTTTAGTCGTTAGGTCATAGGAATTGTAATATCCAGTGCCTTTTCTTCGTTGTAGCAACTTTCTTTGGAAATCGTTCTCTAACTTGTTTCCTTCCATTGATTTCGTTTTGACTTTTTCTCTTTAGTGAGGTCACCCACAAATGGTACGCCATGTACTCCTATCTTTCTCCAGTGTACTCCTATAAAATGAATCCTTGTAAACAGCTGTAACCACCTTACCTTGTTCATTTTCTCTGTTCATTTCTGTGTTCGATTTTTGTGTATAATTATACTGGGGATACTAAATAAAAATGCCGGTTCAATTATCGTCAACAACAGCTGCAAAATCAAAATTGAGGGACTAACAGGATCCGTCTTTACTGACTGTTACGTAATTAGTTTGGACAGACACGCTACCATGCAATGTTCCTATCCAAATTCATTTAGATTTTAAGAAAAAAACAAACACTTTGTGACACAGAAATGTTCTGGGAGCTGCATAACCTCCATGCAAAACGAATCTTATTCATAAAAGTAAACCAAGAAAAGGACGAAATCAGAAAAAAGCCCACCTCAATAAAATTGACAGGAGCTGCTAAGCGTACTCCATCAGAGTTGGTCAGTCTCTTCGGTATGATTTCAAGCATGACAATCATCTATAAAACATATTTAATAATTGTAAACATAAAAATCGAATAGGAATGGAGGACGAGATAAACTCAACCAGAAATATGGTTCACCATGCAAGATCATTCAGAGGAAGTATGCAAGAGGACTTAGGAGAAAGACTAAGAAAGGGAAATGGGTAAAAATGGACTCAAACCGGGCAGGAGATTACTTCGCCATGGTAGGCGCGCCACTTCAGTCGAATCACCTACGATTTGCAGTACGAGCCGATGATCATACCCCACATGATCAATAGCTGATTAGCAAGCCATAATCCACTACGAAGAAATTTTATCACGAACCTCGAAACCTGCCTCGGTCACGTACGTTGGGACATCACTACATCTGTGACCTAACCTAAAGAAGCGAAGAGGCAGCCGCGTTCGTCTACATTGCATGAGCACAGGTCACGAACAGGTCATCAGTGCTCCCCTATTATTCTACGTAGAACTCAAACGCGTGGCGCAACTCACAACGGATCTCTTGAAACCTACGTGGTGTCGACTTCAGTTAAATTGCGAGGTAATTTTACTGATTAACCAAAGCACACAGCATTATACACAGTGCACAGATCTACTACTAACCGTTAAAGCACCGTAGGAGATAGTCGATACGATATTTATCATCACGACAGTTCCATTTCGAACGATATCTATGGTGGCATGATTTCATTGATTCTGAATCCAGGTATGAATGCATAATTGGACATCTCTTCGTGGGCCTTTCGAACAGAAAAAAAACAAGGCGATAAACTTTATTAATAATTAATGTAACAGATTTGGTGTAGTATTTGTTTCTTCATCAATCTCATAATGAATTACTGTGCCTCCTGATTGCCATGAGGAATGCCATATTTCAATTCACTGAAATACATCGTATGAAACTAAAGATTAAAACCAGAAATCTCCCAGAAACTTCTCACTTACTATTTAATAAATTTTCTTATACGGAGCCATGTTTCTCGGCAATTTTCCACATTGTCATGACTAGCTCTCAACCATAAGGGAGCCGCCTGCGAAGACGAAAAAGCTCAGGAAAATTTTTATGTTCAACCCAAATTAAAATATAAAAGACCGTCAAAATGTTTTTCCTTTGACGAGATCTTAGGTTACCAAAGAACTGTTTAGTAGAGCCCCAAAAATGGGAATTGTTTCAAACTCACCCGATTGACTGCTTTTTGGCAAACCGCTTTACCGTGGACGAGGGGTACTGTTCGATCGTCTTCCCCATGAATAACTAGTATAGGGACACGAACTCCTGCGATCTANAAATAAAATGGAACCTTATCGTATGTGCAGAAACGATCCGCACAGCATGACTGTCGCTCAAATGGCTTCTTAAAGCAAGCTCTTTCCCATAGAAGCACTCTCAGTACAGATGCAGGCGGAGATTGCAAAATTAATCCTAGAGAACATACAGTTCTGAATGTGGACGGAAAGCCCATTAAAATAGAGAAAAAGAGGGAGGCAAAAGCCAAATGGAAAGAAAAAGCTAACCAGCAGGAGGCCGCGTTATGGAACATGCTAGATCGACACTGGCAAAACATCCTATCGAATAACCGATTAGAACAATTTGATCAGCTGGTATACCCCGTTCGTTCAGTAAGTTCTAAATTGAACAGTCGTGGGATTTGAAGCTTTGTACTTCTTTCGGATGAAGTGCAAGTATTAAGAAAACAAGTAGACACTTAGGAGCAGTATCTTAGGCATAACATGAAAGAGCGCTGATTTTTTGTTAGATCCAGCCATGTGCCCTGCGTTGAACTACTGGAAGACTGCCCTTTCTGACACCACTCACCTCACTGTCACCCCTCACTGAAAAATATACCAATATATGAATACGCACGTCGCCCGTATAAATGAACGTAGGGAAGGGCAAGCGAGGGATTAAGCGATATTTTGGAGGAGAGAAAGCTTCATGAACTCGATCAAGATCCAAATTGCGAAATGCGTTAAACTACTGCGTCCTGCCGCAGCTGCGATTTCGCTTCGCACAAGTAAAAAATACTAATATTTAAGGTTCCCAGAAATTTGAATGGCAGCTAAACTAACGTCATAAACAGCCCTAATATCAGCCTTCATATTCGATTCACTTGCATATCCTGAACTGATACCGTATCCGCAGTAGTCATAAGAATAGACGTCACACTTGTGAAATCTGGAATAGAGGAGAACTTTACAGAAGATTCCAATACTAGAAAATGTAAAACTATGCAGAAGTCATCCTTGCGCTGCAAAGTATACTGATAGTTGACGAACTCGCTTCCAAAAAACCGTTCATCTTATATTTCCCTGTGAACTGATCTAAGCAACTACCGATCCGTAAAAAGGGCTGATGTAATGTGGAATTTAGAGTCCTTCCGCAATACTGCAGATTTCGTGCTATTATTTCGCGCTACAAATCTCCTGTATCACTCACTGCACTTGAGGTGGTGGGAAAAACGTACTATTTAACGTACCTTGCCATATCTATCAGATTCGGCACTCCAACCAGATGATCGCTCAGATCGCTGGCATTTGGATGTGAGTAGAGGATCGAATATCTGGGAATGCCAGAGACTGGAATCCGGACACATGCGACATACTAAATGAGAGTGAAGCAGCAGTACGAAAATAGCTTTCGAAACATATATTCACCAAGTAAAAGCTGACATTGTTCCTCCTGGTGCGAACGATGAAAGCCTCGACATCTTCGATGTCGTCAGCGCAAGGGTGTCTATGTCCAATACGTAGGGCTTCTTTCAGTTGAAATGCTTTTCTGAATGGGAACTTCTATTTGATGAACGTATTGTATGAAGCCTCAAAAGCTTTGCCCTCATTTCGCCTTGAAAATTTTCACATCTGAGCATGCGTCTACTGCTTTTATTCTACTGGAAAGCACCACATAAAAGGCCTGCCGTTTTTAATTATGATTATGAGCCACACTTCTTAGAAGCAAACATATAAATAAATAAGATACAGTGCCATCGTCACCCTCGAATCATCTCAAGAACCTACTTGTTGGCCCGCAAAATCTTGGGAATCTTCTTCTTCCGCTCAGCAATTTCAATCGCCTCAGCATGCCCCTCGATTTCTTTTCGTTCACGTGGTGGAACATTATCCACATAAAAGAAGTATTCGTTCGGTGGTGGCCATAGAGCAATCTTCAATAAATATCAATCGTTTTGTAGAACGAAAACGGAAATCTCATTACCTGTGGCATCAAATAGCACAGTGGCGGACAGCATACAATTCTACAGCAGCGTCCAGTTCGTAATAACACGGATCCAACTTGACTAATTCTCTCCTAAAAAGAAGATTGGCCTTATGGA